CAATCAAGACACACATACCACATTAGAGGGGCACATAGGAATCCTGGGAAGGAGGAGACATTTTACAATGGCAGAATAGAAGCAAGAGTCTTTCCCGTCAGCTGATGGAACCCCAGATTTCTGGAGCTGCTCATCACAGACCACAAGGCAAATTGATTTGATTATAAATTCAAACCAGCGTCAGTTTTCTTCTTCATAGTAAGTTCTCTGGATTGCTGGCATGGTCTGCTAATTCTCTAAGCCATGAGAGCATATGTATACAGCTAGACATACAAGCACAGACACACTACCATCACTAAAATTCAGTACTTTCTCGGCACGATCAAAGAAGGCCTCTGGGTGCTGCCTGATCTTTTATGGGACTGAGAGTGTTCATACTTACAAAGACCTGCAGAAGGGGTGCTTTGCTCCATGAGTTTTAACAAGAAAAGTAAAGTAACAACAGCCTTATGTCAAAAAATACAGGTAGGACACTCTTCCGAAAGACAATGTTTAAATACAACAGCAACCACTTCGGTTTATTTCCCTTTCCCCAGCTAAACCTGGTAGGCCATTTTCTTTCACTTAACATTAGCTCCTGTTTTGTGGAGATACCAAGCCTTCTTTATAATGATTATTTTAATGGTCACAGCGAGTGAGGATATGCCATCATTTACTTGACTGTTTACCTATTGTTAGGCTGTTGAACTGAGCGTGTTTTTATCTGTGTTATTAATTTAAAACAGTACAGAGATGACACGACATCGCTAATCTAAAACTACAGGGTTTATATATTTACAGCTCACATTTGATTATGAAATTTAATTTGAGAGTAATTAAGACATTTATATTCTACACAGCTCAACAGCATCTAGATTTCCCTGAGCCAGGCAGGCCCAACCATGACTTGCCACTTCCCCAAAGCATTTCCCATTAAATCTAACACAAGTTATGGACTCTCGCTGCTCTGCAGATTAAGAGATTCACCCAAAGAACCAGCACCTCTAGCTCTAGCTCTATGGGGTGACCTACCCAAGGAAGCCATGTTATAAATGCAATTCAAGTCTGACAGTCACCTAACTTCAAGGCAACCCTGATGCACCAATGACAGACATGTTCCAGGACCACTGGAGGTCTCCCATAACCCACCCTTGATACATAATATAAGAAGGCCAGGAGGCTGACTCATTCACTTTTCAGATGTCTGATACTTTGTTATTGTTATTAATATTATCATTAAAGAAAGGGCCTGAGTTACCACTGGCTAACCCAGAATCTTTGTGTAGACCAAGCTGGTCTTAAACTTGCAATGATCCTCTTGTCTCTGGCTCTCATGTGTTGGAATTGCAGGTACATGCTACCATGCTGGGCTTAGCTGATGCTTCTTGAAGTTGACCAAGGGTCATGCCAAGTGACAGATCTCTCTGCTTAGGACCGTTCTTTAGAGAATGTTATTCAAAGGGACTTATTCAGCTATGCCCTTCAGAGTCTCAACATACAGGATGAGGATAGCAATGGAGTTGCCCCAGCAGGCAGGGGGATTCTGAGAGTCAAATGAGAAGATGGGTGTGAAATGTACAGGCATAAGTTGGCATTTGTTAGCACACAGAGGTCCATGCATAGGGCCTAGAGAGATTGCTCTGCAATTAAGCACACACACTGCTCTTGTGGAGGACCCAAGCATAATTCCCAGCACCCATGACAGGCAGCTCACAAGGGCCCCTGATTCCTGCTCCAGGGGCTTCCAACACCTCTGGCCTTTTGGAGCATCTCTACTCATACACATACGCATAATAAAAAGATAAAAATTAATCTTCAAACCTGCCCAGCAGGCATATGGCCCTAGGGCCAACCCCCAGTACAGGCTCACTAAAGCAAAGAACTTCCTTATTATTTATCTTTATTTTCCCTAATAAGGGAATAGTCTTTTACATACTTAGCTAGCAACTCTGTAAAGCACGAAAAGCTGAGAGTTTTGTTTTTTATTCTTTTGCTTTTACCACCAGCAATTAATTCCTCTGATTTGTTTTATGAGTTTGATGGTCTGGTCTAACACTCAGCAAACCAGCAGAGTGATGTAGGAAAATTATTTCAGTGCAGTTCCTGGCAAATCCTGATGATGAATAGTGAGGCAGGACAAACTTACTCAGACACACATTTTTCAGGACTGGCAGGGAAAAGGCTGAAAAATTACTAGTAAATTGCTTTTTGTAAAAATGCTCTCTCTTTCAAATTTCCCCTAGTATGAAGGTCTCCTTCAGAACGATGGCACAATACATTCTGACACACCTAGATGGCAAGGGAGCCAAAGAACAGTCACAGATAAGAATGGGGGTTAGGATTTAATTTTCTTTTGGCCCCAGTTCCCAAGGCTCTTCCCCTGCACCAACTTCTGAGTATATGTCTTTTACTTTTGGGGCTAAGTGTCCCTGAAGAATAGCTATTATCTGTGCTGGCAGGCTTGCCCTACTGTCCCCCACCCCCGGGCACAATCCCCACCTCCACTGTATGAGCCTTGCTATTAATGTATTACATCTCTGGTCCATTCTACTCCTAGTCCCTCCTCTCTAAAACTGTCCTGGAGGTTGAGTTTCAGATTACAACCGTCTGCAGATATCCCCAGCACCTTACTTGAAAGCCTTCATTCTGAGGCCTTAACTCGGGGACAATAGAGGCCTTGGGCATTCATGGTTGGAAAGGCTAATGCAGGGTTGTCATGGTGGTGACGCTCCCTTGGTGACAATGCCGGCTGTCACACAGGAAGGAAGGTGTGCTTCTATTCTCTGGAAGAAGCTAGGGCCACGGCTGACTGCGGCTGCTGAGTGTTCTGCACTGCTCAGAGCCCATCCAGCGTCAGCCGGTCATCTGCCTGACATGCCAGTAGAGCAGCAGCTGAGTAACCATGGTGGAAATGGAACCAAAGGCTGCAGAGGTGATTTTTAGGGTACCTCCCCCAAACCCATTAGTGTTCAGCAATGTTATGAAGAGTTGGGGACTGGATGTGCCTCTGAGTCTTTCACGCTGCAAACACCTGTGGCTTACAAGGCAGCAAAAGCCAGTGTAGCAGAAGTATACCTGCAGAGAAGGCATAGGACATGTGATACCCCTAAGCCAAGGGCTTGGCGTTCCCCTCTTCCTCTCCTTCATCCAGCCCTTAAGCCTACCGGCCTACAGCATGCTGACTGAAGATTAAGGACAGGAGAAGCATTGGATGTATGTTGGACATCTGGGTCTGTTGGAAACAGAATGAGCTTGGAATTTGGAGGGCCATGGCCTGTCTGTGCTCTTCGCCTGCTGTGAGAGGTTGAATAAGTGGCATAGCATACCTCTGTGATATGGGAATATTGCCACCAAATGTAAGAAAAATAATTCTCTGACCCCGTAAGTAGTGGCCCCTCTGTAAATATCTCCATTGTCATGTCCTGAGACTGTCTCCTCCAGGTCTCTGGGCTGGGGTCTTACCAATAGTGCTACCATAGTCAAAAATCACTACCCCTGCAAATCCTCTGCCTTAGGACAGAGCTTGAGTTCTGTTGACATTGGGCTGGGGAGTGCCGCTTTTTACTGGCCTTGGCTCATCTCTGTGAGTTCGCAACCCTGAACACTGGGGTTGTGATGCCAGAATCTTCTGAATACCCATTTCCAACCAGCTGACCCCCACTTTACTCTCAGATGTCAGGAAGCCAGCGACAGCTAGTTCACAAGCAGCGCATGTAACTCCATCTTCTGTTTATCTTTCGCCAAACCCAGGACTGAACTCAGGTCCTCATAAATACTAAGAAGATGCTCTACTAAGCTTTATCTCAGATCTATTTTTACTTTATATTGAGGTAAGGACTCCTTGATCTGCCCTGCTTGGCCTTGAACTCACTCTGTAGTTCAAGCAAGGCTTATCCTTGTGATCTTCCTGCCTCAGCTTCCTAAGTAGCTGGAATCAGAAATTTGCACCGTCAGGCCCAGCTTCGCTGAATCTTGCTTCAAGTGCAGCCCCGCAGAAAATTCTTCGGTGTGTGATAAGCAGCTGCGAATCTGCTTACCTAATAAAGGGAAGGCGCTTACCCTCCCGGTATTCCCCAGAGAATCGTTGGCCACCTGCATCTCTTTAGCTGCATTTAATAGCTCAGCCCAAGATGAATCTGCATGATTAACAAAAAGCCTCCTGATTTTATTTTCTTTCAGCATTTAAATGCTAGAACAACTACCATTGTTGTCATTTTTTTTTTCCAGGGGTTGTGATCAAAACACAAAATTTGATTCTAGAATGAATAATTTATTTTTTAAAGTAATTTCCCAATACCAGTCTCCAAGGAATCACAGCAAAGAGACGGTATTGCTGTTTTTGTAGACTCAGGGAAACCCATGTTGTGTTCATGACTGATGTTTCTAAAAGCCATGCTCCCCAACATGACTTATTCCCGGAGATAGCCCTGTGGAGGAAGATCGCTGGCTCCCCACAGGGTCCATGTTGACTAACCCTGGTTCCTGCCTGCAAGGGCGTTCCTCTACATGTGGTGTCTATCTGCTCAGGACCTAGAGTCTTCAGTAAGTCTTTAATACTGTTGGATTCCAATAATAGATTAATCGCGTCATCCTCCAAAAAAAAAAAAATCGTAAAAATCCTAAACTAAGTAAGTTGGTTGCATTTGGTAAAGCATCTGCCTGCGGAGTGGAGACACACATGTGAAAAGATAATTTGCAGAGCTGACGGATCAGCGTCACTGGGCTGCTTGATGAATGTAGTAAAACAGGTTTGTCTAATGGGGAAACAAGCAGTACTATCAAACGGAAACCGAGTGTATCCCACATGGAAAAGTAAGCAGGCTTTAATATCGAGAAGCATTTCATGCTGTGCCTGCCAGCAACTCCCCGCCTGTCTGATTTTCCTTAACATAAAGGCCGACCTCACCTGTTTAAAAATAATTAGGAAACCGGCAGCTGTAATTTGGCTGGAAGTCCATTCGGCTGCATTTGCGTGTGTGCTTCTGACCCACTAAAGCTTCTGTTGCTGTCTCTGCATGCAGGCACCATGGTCAGCAAGGACTCCGGTAGATGCATACTCACGACACCAGAGCGGGAAGTGGAGCCAGCTGCCTGCCTGGCCCTGGAGATGAGATATGCCCTAGACCCTAACCGGCAGATCAAAAAGCGGAACAAAGCCCTGCAGGTGCGCTTCAAGGATATCTGCGAGGCCCAGAATGAGCAGAGGGACACACAGCTGTCTTCGGGATCTCTGGAGAAGCGAGAGGCCAAGGCTGTGTCCTGTAGGACGGCCTACCGTAAGTATATGACAGTGCCCGCACGCCGATCCATTCCCAATGTCACCAAGAGCACGGGTGTGCAGACCTCACCAGACCTTCGCAAGTGTTACCAGACTTTCCCGCTGGACCGCAAGAAAGGCAGTCTCAAAGGCCTGCCAGCTGCAGATTCCTTCAAAAACCAGAACAATGGGTTTCTAACAGGCTCAAAAGAGAAGAGCGAGGCTGGGCCCATGGAGGACCCCCGGCCTTGCAGTGCGGGAAGGATTCACAAGACCACAGCTTTGGTTTTCCATTCCAACGAGCACGTGAATGCGCTGGACCAACCTTCCGGGGTCAACTGTGCAGAGCTCTGCAAGACTCCAGACATGCTTGGCTACCCCGAAGCTCTAGTGCCGAACTCTCGGCCTCCCTCCGAGGAGCCTGTCCACCAGCTGCAGGGGAGAGCTAAGCCGGACAGGGGCACCCTTGATTCAGAGGAGCCCACCCCGCTTACCCATGGAAGGGTATTTAAAACAGAGGTTGCCACTGTGTACCCGCCTGCCATCAGTACCCGGGACCCTGAGCCTGGCTTGTCGAACTCGGCTGCTGCCAGCCAATGGTCTCTCTGCCCTGCAGTTGAGGAGCAGAGGAGGGCTGCCCACCTCAATGGGCTGCAGGCATCCACAGGCTCTGCTCTGGCCTGCTCACCCCCAGTGCAGTGCCTGTCCCCAGAATGTAGCGAACAGCCCCCACAGAACCAGCCTAGCCCCACCGCTGGGGTGGGGGATGAAGAACGCCAACAAATTGTGCCTCAAACCGAAGTGGTAGACCTCAAGGCCCAGCTGCAGGTGATGGAGAACTTAATCAGCTCCAGCCAGGAGACCATCAAAGTGCTGCTGGGGGTCATTCAGGAGCTGGAGAAAGGAGAGGCCCACCGGGAAGGGTATGTATGACGACTCTGTCTTATTCCCTGCAAGATTGCCCCTGGCCTCCTCTGCAGACCCAAGGTCCCATCCCTAAGGAGTCCAATGCCAGTGTTTCTGTGTCAGGGCCGCAGTTGGAAGAACTAGTGAGTTACGAGGGTCACAGGTGTGTTGAAGGCCAGGCTTCTTGGCACACTCACCTGACATTCATTTGCTCGTTAGTGTTTACCCATCTGAACTTGGTTGCAAGCTCTACCTGTATATTCAGAGTTGATGGGTCTTCCTTGTGATCTATTCAGATTAATGTTTCTGTTCTTAATGAATTGTAATACATATACCAGTTCAAAATATCTATGTACGAGTCCCATTTAATTCTTAGGAATCCCATCATGGGGGGTGGGGACAAATAAGATGTCATTAGGAAAAGTAAATGCTAGCGAGTGATAAATGATTTCAATGGGATCGGATCTGGACCATATAAGGTTTTGTGTGATAGTCTTATGGTTTTCATTCTTTTCCTGGAGCACACAGAGGCAGAGGCCCTCTTTAGGCAAGCTCTATTCGTAGGTGATTAGGAGGCAGACACCCGCACCCATGAGTTGTGTTTGGTGTCCATTTGGATTATAACACAATCCAGCATCAACAAGGGCTTGTTGGACTTGACCAGTCATTGATCATCCAAGCTAGGAAACATCTCCCACAGCCCTCACTGTGGGCAAGGCTGCCAGGGCTGGTTCTGTGCATCTTCAAACAGTGCCCATGGCTCCCCAACCTTAGTCCGACCTGCCAAGCCTTCTCTTGTCCAACTCTTTGAAACCACCTCATCCGCTCCACCACTGTGTTCTGGAGGTTGGATGTGAGTCTGTGTTCTCTTGTCCATGTGACTGGCGCCCTTTACTCTGTGGGTGAAGAGAGCTGGCAGCCGCGTGACAGAGGGAAGCCAGGTAATACATTATCATTGCAGCAGAACACCCAGACTCAAAGCGTCAGTAGAGGATTGCTGTGGCTAAATTAGGCAGAGTCTGCTTAGTGCGAGCAGTGGAGAAGAAACAGCCTCTGCCTTCCAGGGCAGAAGGTAAAGCCAATGCACTAGTTTCAATGGCTAGGTACCTGGTGCTTGTCCTACCCTTGACTTTGGCCATTCCAACCCTGTTGACAAGAGGAGCTGCTTCTTCGTACCGGCCCCACCTCTGACCAACAGGCAGATTCCAGTAGCTATGAAGCAAAAAGCATGACTTGCCTAATGTAAAATAACCTGATGGGATGCTAGTGGTCAATCTAATTACCATGGAGTTGCAGGAAGCACATTTAATGCTGAGAGGCCATCTCCATTTTCATTCATTTCAGGCATTTGAATCCATACATATCCCAAAGTCACTCACTGGGGAAGATAGACTTAGGCATTAGCAGGTCACAAAAATGAGAGGGTCAAACAGGAACCAATCCTGGACTTTGACATAGCTGGAAGTCACTGGAGCCACACAGCAACATTGAAAGGGTGTCACCAACACAAGGTGGAAAACAAACCTCAGCAAGTGGTGTGAAGCCAGATGTATATAATACGGTAATGTGCATACCCGCTGGGAGTCACACTCAAACAGACACACCTCCAAGCACCGGAGGAAGGGAAAGCCATGCGTTTAGCTAGGCACTTCCTTGTGCTAGTAGAACACGCATGGAGCTTTGCTTCAGTAGGGTCTTCTAGCTTCCCAGAGGCTCTGTGTGGCTAGTCAAGGGAGTTCAAGTCCAGTAAGGCATGTCTGGATGGAAGTTCTGGCTCTGGTGACTTGCACAAGGGTGACAACCCTTTGTAGTTCATCTCTCCACCTAGAAATGGGGGGGCATTTGCTCATCGCGCAGTGGAGAGTGAGAGATGCACAGGTGACTCTCGGCTGTATTCATCCCACGGACGGATGCTGAACTGGGTAATGGCTGCCAGTGTCTACGTGTTGGTCTGATAATTGGTTTTGGATAGGAGGAGGAGACACTTAGGCCCCATGTCTGAGTCCAGTGCAATGAATGCATCCCCCTTAAGCTGATGACCCACAAAGGATGTGACTCCACATTGCCCTGGAAACTCTGGAAGATTCTCTGTCAAGTGTAGTGGCTTGCTAGCAGCCTGTGCCTAATGAACCCATCAAGTCAATTGTACTTAGTTACACTTGACCATTCACTCCTCGGGCAGGGTTTAAGAGCTTGGTAGTAGCAAACTGAAGACAGGGGAAAGGGCCTCCTGTCACAAAAAGCCCTTCCTTCCAGTATCCCAAAGTATGCACAGAGCCCTAGCCATCTTAAGACTTGACACCTTAAAATCAAGGCCAGGAATCGTGGTCCCTCCATCATCTTTAAAACAAATCTCTACTTAGGTCATCGTCCATACAGGACAAGCTCAGGGTGTCAAGGCAGGTCCATAGAGTCCATAGGTCTCATATCTGATTCTAGAACAATCATTCCCACCCATCTCAGGAACACTCTGGATACATTTCACAGCGAATCAATTAGTTTCAAAGCCCAAGGGTACTATGATGGTGGCTCTTTCCATGCCATACCCAAGATCATTAACTTGACTAATACTCAAATTTCTCACTTCCCTTTTCCCTTGAGAATATCACAGAGGGGAGCAGCCTCTAGGGGACAAAGCAGAAGCTGTGAGGATGAAGTCCCAAGGAGTCTCCCGAAGTTGGAGAGTCAGCCACAGGCAGTTCCCCACTGTGACACCTGTAATGACCCCGGAGAAGGATAGCGACTGTCTATTTCCCTGGTTAAATACTGCATCGTCCGGCAGTGGCATCAGCTTCTACACCCTGAAAATCTCTGCTCCTCTACTCACCCAAGCCCAGTCCTGAATGGTGCCACTGTGGTCCTGAAGGGAGAAGGGGGTTTTCAGGACATAGGTACAATATGGAGGCAGGAGATGACTGTTTCGTTTGTACCCCAAGTTAAAACAACAGGAAATGCATTCTACTTTGTAATACTAGTGTTTAATACATTAAGAATTATATTTTATTTTTCTCTGTTTTTGAGGTTGGGGGCACAAAAGAAAACTTGCAAAGGTCCATTCTCTCTTTACACCACATGGGTCATGGGGATGGAACTTAGGTCACTGAGCTTGGTGGCAGGTGCCTTTGCCCACTGAGCTTGGTGGCAGGTGCCTTTGCCCACTGAGCCATTTTGCCATCGATGTATGTATCATTACATATTCACTTCCTGCGAAATGACAAAGAATTGAAGGACCCATCAAACGCCAAAAGTTGTCCTTAGAAAGTAGTCTCAAGCCGCTGAGTCATTAACTATGGAAGATTCTTATGAAGCAGTGGGCTAGTGGAGGCTTCTACTTTCTTTTCCTGCCCAGGAAAGCACAGAGTGGCTCTGGACAAGAAGTCACCAGCATTAAGGAAGATCTCTTAATGGGGTGGGGCCCAGTGCAGCCATCACTGCGTCTATGTGACACATCTTACACCCACATTTCCATAATGTTCCGTGGTCTAGAACTGAGCCTTTGAGGGTCATGGGTCTTCTCTTGTGTTACTGTCTAGACAGTATGAGGAGAGAGTGGTATTTTTGAGTCTGACCAGCAGCCTCCACATCCCCTGCACTGTACTCAGTGTATAACATCTTTGATAGGGCTTTTCATTATCCAAGCCATCAGACAAGCTCTTCCTAGTGGCTTTTTCTCTATGAAGGGCTATGTGCCATCGGGCAGCTGCTTTTAGTCCCTTCCAAGCTATGCTTCCTGAGAGACTCTTCCATTAGTCTCATTTGCTTGTCTGCGTGCCTGAAAGGCTCGAGCAGAGCAGTCTCATCATAGGCAACCGAGCTTCAGTTGGGTCTTCGTCAAGTAGGAGTGGTGGAGGCTTCCGTATGGTGTCTAGGACAAGCCCCGGCCTATAGGACCACACAGTGGTATAGGCTGGGACCCATGGGCAGCATTACAGAGGATCCTTTCTGTAAGGAAGTGGGCTGTGCGGAAAATCTCCTCACACTTGTGCTTTTCAGTCCCCTGTAAAACGTTTGGACAATTCACTCAAATCACCCTGCTTTATGCAGCACAGGCGGCATTTGCTCACCAGGCTGGCATGAATGCCAAGAATTACCCTGCCCGTTTCAGCGTTCTCGGTATTATTCTGATCTCTTCTCGGCAAGTGCTGGGTCACGCAGGCTACCTGCAGGACTGATGTGTTTGTTAATGGTTGAGAGCGGGGCAAGCGGTATATGGGATTAAAAACCCAACTAGTTCTTAGAAAAACGGGGGAAATTCCCTGCAGCCACCACTCCTAAGAGTCCAGTGATGCTTTTCCCGTCAGAGAAAACCAGAAACCTGTGGGAGAGGCCACCTTCAAGGATGTTAAATGTAAGGCCAAACTTTTTCACTAGCCAGGTCCCTTGGAGCATTCAGGTTTGGGAAGCGGAGGGTATCCAGGGCATGCCAGGCCTTGAAATATAGCTAATAGAAAAGCAGATAGGACAAGCTGGACCTCTGGCTAAACTAAGTCAGAAAAGACCTAGTTTTTTCTAAAAACTAAGTCATGTGGACGCATGAGACCACAGCTTAAAAGAAGGCACGCAAAGGTGTCTGATTGCTTGAGGAAAGGTTGTAAGGTTAAACACCTAGTCAGGTGGACAGTTTCCTGTCAATGGGATATCCTTTAGCCAGCTAACAGGTAGCTTCATGGTGGCCTGAGATCCAGTTTTCCCCATTTGGGGCAAACAGTGGTTTAACTAATAACATTTTTTTAATTAAACACACATACACTTATATAAAAATCCATTCATGGAAATGCCTTCAAGTTCAGGGGCTTGATGAGAGAGAGCAAGTGGCATTGCCCTGCTATCAAGACTCGGGAGGCAGTAATAACTAACAGTTAACACACCGTACAGTGGCCTCTGTTAATGTTTCCTCAAACCCATCTGTTCTGTTAATCAATATAAAAAAATGGGAGTAGCCACCAAGCAAGAAAGAATCTTATGCAGCAAAATAGGTGAGAGATGAGGACTGAGGTCCTAGGACTTCAGAATCCCA